ATTGTACTTTTAACGTTATGGTACGACTTCAGATTGTACCTACACATTTTGTACAAATTCTTTAATGGTATAACTTGAACTTGTACATTTATATGAGGTACTACTTCAGGGTGTAAAGTTGTACCATAACATAATGATACAAATTCTTTTATGGTACAAACTAAACTTATACATTTAAGGTTATTGTACAACTTCAAGTTACATTAAAGCACCAATACTATGTAGCATAGTAGAATTCCTTCTCCCACTCCCTCCCACTTACGTTACACAATTAAGATTTTCCCCCCATCCTATGAATCGACCGTCAGAAGAAGAACGTGAGATAGAAACCTCACTCGACGTCAATCCCCTCCACCAGTGTGACCTAGTTTTTTCGCCCATCATCTCTCTCCCCACCACACAGAGCAGCGGCACAAAATAGCAGCCAGTAGACCAGCGATCCGTTCCCACGCCGGACTCGGGATAGACGGACGCCAAGAAGCCCGGCAACAAGAATCTCGCTCGACGTCAGATGCTCTAGAGGGAATCAAGGGCTCGTCGGAAGAGCTCGTTGGTGGCACCGGCGTAGTCGAATTCAGAAAAGCTTCAAAATGATGGTACCATCGCGAAGAGGACGATCAGGATTGTCACCGTTTCGACGAAATCGAATTTCGGGTGTCAAACGAGGGAGAAACGAGCAAAGGAAGTTAGGGACGAAAATCTGGCAAGTTCAAGTATCATTCTTGTTAATTCAAAAGTTTGAGGACTGATTTTGAAATTTTCCCAAAAGGTCGTGGTCAACTAGGTTGGCTAGAAAATTTCAGTTTTGGTACCTGATACTTTGGAATCTGACAAAATTCTTATTTTGGCCATAACTTGTTCGTTTGACGTCCAAACGAGGAACTGTCGATGCCTATGGAATCGTGAAAGCGAGGAGATTATTTTTGGGATTGAGTTTGGAAATGTTAGATCAGATTCGGAGTCGGAATCAACTGATATGAGGTAAGTGTAAAGGGGGTAATATCTCAGTCGTAGGTCTTTTAGTTCACGTTTTTACTTTAAGTAATGTTAGTTAATTTTACGATTATGCGCGATTATATTTGTGAGGCATCCCACCAAATACTTAAGGTGGAGGCACGCATTGTGCTTATGTGTGTGTAAGAATGTGTATGGATATTGGTATGATGAACTCCCGGGCGGTTGGGCCACTACTGGACGCGGTAGATGGTCGAGTCACAACTGGACGGCGATACGTAACGCAATACCATTTCCTTGTGGATAGGGACACTAGACAGCGATAAATAACGTGGTGGTCCCTAATAGTTAAATGTATGTGTTAAGGATAGAAGTTGAGAACTTCTATACGATAAGGTTAGTAGCATAAGAGTTTACATAAGTTATTAAGGGAATAAAGTAATAAGAATAGAAGTAAATAACTTCAATAAGATAAGGATAGGAGTAAAGATCTTCTATTAGTTGTTTTGGAATAAGTTATTAAGGATGAAAGCGAGAACGAATTTCGTCTAAGAAAGGAAACCCGCTAATAATGTGTTTAGTAAGAGTTTGCTTAGGGCAAGACCTTAGGAAGTAACGGCGAGACTAACTCCTTCTCACTCACCAGGTGGAGGAAGGGTTAGTCGAGGTGGATCCCGCAAAGAAGCATGGCGAGGTGAGTAGCCATACCAGCATTGATGACGAGTCAAGGAGCTTGTGAGGAGTCGGAGCTAGAATAGTTTAATTACTTTGTTGCGTGGTTAAGAGTATAAACTGGAGATTCTGAGTCAAGCCGTTTTAAGTATTTGGATTGTTATTGCCCAAGTGTTTGGGCTTTTTATTTGAAAGTCTTAAACTTTGTCAGTTTGTTTATTTTAAAAGTGGTTTGGGTTGCTCTGATGTAACCGATTTTTGTTTGAGTTATGGTTTGGTTTTCAAAAAGAGTCAGGTTGTTTCATTTTGGTATCAGAGCCGACATTACTCTGTTTCTTGGTCTCCAAGGAATACTGGCGTGACGATATGTGCATTTCAAGGTGCTTGTTTTTTTTTTAAGGAAAGGAAAAAGGGTTTCAGGTTAAAGGTTGGGCCAAACGAGTCAGAGTTCTTTTGAGGATTTTTAGAATCTCGGGAAGGAGAAGGAGAAGATTCCTATGAGGATAAGTTAGTGAAACCCTTTTCATGAGTAAGAAGAGGTAGTTTAAGGCAGCTCATGTCCTACGGGGATGCGAGTTGATTAGTATGAGATTCAGGAAGACGCCAAGTATATAGTACATCAACAAACAGTAGACAAGGAGTTGGAATGAGGGTAAATGTATCGAGCCCAAGAAAATGCACAAAGGAATATGATGAGGAAAGCATTCCCAAGCAAAAGGAGCGAGATAAGTTGCTTTATCCAAAGTTCCCCACTCCGAGTGGGTACAGCATGGTAGGATGTTATAAAGAGGAGACGACTAGTTAATGATGAATCATACCCACGTAGTTCAGCCACGGTGAATATGAGCAAAGCGATTAAGGTCGTGGTCAAGCACCATTGTGAGTAGAAGTCTTGGGGGCCACGTGTCAAGTGTACCTAGAGCAAGTTTCTAGTGGAAGTAAGGAGGGCACCACCAAAGTTAGTACCAACCATCGGTGAAGGAGTTGTGGAAGTAAGGAGGGCACCACCAATTTATAATGAAAGTTATAGTGAAAAGGGCAGTAGTCGACAGGACGACGTATTCAGGGAGAATGATAGATAGGAATGGTCGAAGAAAAAATCGGAAGGATAGCAAGGAGGTGTTAAGGTGATTGTCAGCGGAGAACAAGTTGGACCATATGAGGCCATCAAGAACTGAGAAGCTCAGTGGTCAACTTTGATGTGGAAGTAAGTTCATCTCGATATGCCAGGGATGAAAACCTTAAGGGTAAAGGCATTTAAAGGAGGAAGGATATTCTGGAACCTAAAGAACTACACGAGAGTAATGCTTAAAGAAGCAAGGGGAACTTTTGAAATAGAGTAAGTCCATGAATTTTTTTATCGCGAAAAAAGGGGACCAGGTTGAAATATATAAGGATCCGGGAGACTTACGTGGTCAACCACAGATGATAGTTATGTTAAATGGTTCTCTGACCTTACGAAGAAGAGTATAGGCCTACATCAGTAATCTTAGAGTTGGAAGGGGTAGTAAGCACATCAATAAGGATGTGTAAGGGATTGACTCATCCTAAAGTCACCATACATGGTAAATCAGGCATCGAGTTTGTTTATCAAGTTGAGTTACCAAGAGGAGAATAATGAGGTCTACAAAGGGGGAAGAGCAATATGAATCGCTATTTGCCTCCCGTAGTTTTACTATTTGTCGTCCGTAGTTAGAAAAAATATGACGATATTGCCCCCCGCCTCATTTTAAAACCCTAAACCTATTCCAACCTAACCCTTCACCTCCAAACCTTCACCTCCCAAACCCTCACCTGCTGCTGCCAAGAGAAAGCCGCCGGCCAGCCACCTCCGCCGCCGCCGAGAAGCCCGCCGCCGCCGCCGAGCCCATCAGCTGCCGCCGAAGAGGACCCCACATCAGCGCCGCCTTACCTCCCAAACTGCCCTCACCGCCGCTGTTCGAGACCAGGTAATTTTTTTTATTTTTTTCTCGCCTCCGTCCGACACCCTAGAGCGGACGCGGTCCGCCAGGTCTGGTCGGACCCCGCCCGCTCGGTCTGGTCGGACCGGTCTGATTGGGATTCTGGTTCGGTTTAAATTAATATTTATTACATTTATTTTAAATACAATTGTTAGTATCTTAATTAGTTTAATATTGATAGTTGAATAATTAGTATATAATTGGTAATTATATAATGTGTTAGTTTATTAATTGGGTAAGTTTAAATAATTATTTAAATAACTATCTATCGTATTGAGTAAAGTAACTATCTAGTCAAATTAATTAGATAACCAAGTTGTATGTATCATAATTAGTAATTCATAAATTATGACTATGAACAAATTGCTAATCAAATAATTTATTATAAGAGATTAATTGATAATTATTGACTATGCTAATAGATAATTTATTATAATAATTATTTAAATAATTATTGGATTAAAAAATTGTAAATAATTTTTAATTTTAAATAATTATTTATGATGTTTTAGTTAAGTAATTGAGTAAGTTGAAATAAATATTTAAATAACTACCTATCGTATTAAGTAAAATAACTATCTAGTTAAATTAATTAGACAACAAATTGTATGTATCATAATTACTCTATGAAACAACAAGTAATTGCTCAAAAAATAATTTATTATAAGATATTAATAGAAAATTATTGACTATGTTTAGAGATGGTGCCACCTGGTAATTCTAGAGGATCACATAGTTCTTAAGGAGCTGCAAAGAGATTGAGAAGATTCATTGGGCGTAACATTAGCGCTAGTGTGAGAAATAGTGACACCGATGAGTTTGAGGGAAGACGGTTTTCCTTAGTTTGATTTTCAGTTGCCTAGTATGGCTGGTAGTGGAGCTGGTCCCAGTCGTGATCATGCATCACCGTTTAAGCCTTCAGACGAGATTGATGACGAGTCGGAGGAGTATGAGTCGGATGCTGTTGAGTATCGCATTCCACCCGTCAGTCCGATCAGAGACAGAGGTGCCCCAGCGGATCGTCACATGCGTTACTGGGGTTCATGGTGTTACTGGGATCTATAGCCTGGTGAGGGCCAGAGTGGTACTGCTGATGTGGGAGAGGCCTGGGAGCCTAGAGGACCGTGTGCTGGAGGGCCGAGCGACACGAGTTTGCTCCGTAGCTTTCTTGGGCATGTTGCCCACCATCTGTACACCGGAGAGGCTGATAGAGGGGTGATCACTTGCTACGAGAGGAGTTCGACCCTTCCCCACGTTCTCGACAGTTATGTGATAGCAGATGATAATGCTAGGACTACCGTAGAGACACCGGGCCTTGCTCACCTCGTTGATATCACCTTCTAGAGCGAGCTGGACCCTGCTCTCATCTCGGAATTTGTGGAGAGGTAGCACCCGGATACCAACACCTTCCACATGCCGTTTGGAGAGATGACGATCCTGCTTCACGACGTGGCACACATTCTTGGGCTTGCGGTTGAGGGAGAGGCGTTTGTAGTGGATCCGAGTCAGTTGGAGAAGTGGGCACTGGAGGCTGACATACGAGCACTACTGGGATTAGATCGTGACGATTCTGAGTATGGGGCGCAGGTTGGTGAGGTTGCTAGTCTATCTAGGTGGTATAGAGGATTTGGTTTGTTAGGTGTGGGATCTTTGACTCATTTGCAGCAGTCTGGTCCGCCAGCTAGAGAGACTCAGTGTTACCTTCTTTTGCTACTTGGGTCCACACTGTTCATAGATAAGAGTAAGGACTGCGTTTCTGCTATTGTCAACTTGTTTGTGAAGAGGCCGGATATGCTAGGAGAGTACGCGTGGGGGGGGGGGCGCAGGAGCACTTGCTTATCTGTACAGGCAGCTTGGTATTGCCTCCCGGGCGGAAGGTAAGGGAGTGGCGGGTTGGCTGGGCGTCCCTTTCTAAATTCATTCGCTTCTGGCTCATGAATGTTGTCTTCCGCCACGTGGAGACAGTGAAACACGTTCTTTGCTGCTTTTTTCGTTGCCTCTGGTCCTCTGCGTACAGCCTCATCAACCAACTCCTGAAGGTGACATTTAGCCTCCTCCTCCTGGGGCACATACTCCGGAGCATTGGGTGGATTCTCGTATGTCAGTGTCCGCCAATATATATGAATATCACCCGGGTATATCTCTATGTCTCGCGCTCTGCCATCCATAACTTGACATCCACACCTCAAGCCGTGTGTCACAGAGAAATGACATGCACATCGGGAGTTCTCATTTTTTTCCAAGAGGGCCGCCAATTCTTCTTCAGCCTCCTCCATTAATATAATTGCCTGCATGCTGACCTTCCTTCTCAAGTATGTGAAGGGTGTACCACCGGATGCTGAAAGGGTTTTCTGTCTTGAGTTTTCCAACATCCTAACATCTCCGAGTTGGTTAGTAATGTAGCGGTGGTTTTCTTTTCATACAGTGTCCATAGATCCCCGCGAGTTGTGGAGGAAAGTTTTCAAAGCGGAATATGACGACTCAACCCTGTTTGTGCTCGTATTTCCTAGATGAAACACATTTTTGGTATGACAAACTGCCCACTACTGCCCACTTTTCTCGATGTTGCCACCACACTCCCTGTATGTATTGCAACAGACGTGGTTCGTAATTGCAGTATGTTGTCCTAAAGCAGCCAAACGCGGCCAACATACCTTGCTCGGACCAAGAATAAAGCATAGCACACCAATATTGATCGTACGCCTCGTTGACCAAATCCATCCTGTCCTTCCCAAATATTTCCAAACACTTCTTCTGCACATTGGTGTTGATGTGCCAAACACATAGCAAATGCGGGGTGCAGGGGAAGACCACAGAAACCGTAGCAAGTAGTCCACCTTCATGGTCGGTGACGATAACAGTGGGCACGCGTGGATGGATCAATTGTTGTATGCACTCCAATAGCCAATGATACGACTCTTTTGTGTCATCCTTCATGAGAGCACAACAGATGTTGAAATTCTTCCCAACTGGAGTAGCACCTACGACCTCCACCCACAACATTTTATATGCATTGGTCTTATACGTTGAGTCGATCAGAATCACGTACGGCCAAGCCTTCAACATCTGGATGGAAGTTGGATGGGCAAAAAAAAGATGTGTAAGCACGTCGTTATCGTCCTTCATAACCTCTGTATGATAATTCTCACGTTCACCTGCTTGCAACGCATACTGCACTGCATTCATCTCGCCCATCTCGTCTTTCCTAGACTTGTACACGAGGTTATACATATGCCTTTGGGTGTGATGCCCTTTGTCACCCTTTTGCTTGTTTATTGTCTGCTTCTGTTGCGACGGAGGTACCCCAACATCTCTTATCTTCTTCAGAGATTCTTTATCCTCCTGACTCAATTTATTCATTTGACTGTGGCCCTAGGGATAAAGCATCTTCTCATGATTGTGATACCCTCGCCTTAAACCGGTTTCTTGCTCAATCATTGCTTGTATCTCCCAGAATGAAGGTCCATCAAGAGCATCTGGATCAACCAGTAGTTCTTTGATTTTAACCTTAAACATGCATCCCGATCCTTTTGAACTTGTATTGCCACGACTCTCCTTGGACGGATCCGGCTTGTATGACTTCCTATCCCTACTGCATTTGTCGCAATACATATAACACATACCCAATACTCTATTGTTGCGCAACTCACATGGCTTCATCAATCCCTTAGTTACAAAGAAACCAAGAGACATCGCGATGTGTTTGGTCACTGTTACAGCATCTTTGAAATTGTCATATCGGACGCCATTGAGAAAATGGTCTGTGTAATCACCAATTAGTTCAACATTGTAAGCCATGTCCACCTGCAATTATGATTTTACAACTCGTTAGAAAGAAACAACTTATATGATTCTACAAAATTAAACTAAATTAATTAACTCTACAAAATAACAATAATTTGACGGTAATAAATTTAAGTAAATATAAATTATTAAAAAAAATTAGCTCTACAAATTAAATCTAAATACAATAAACTAATTACCGCTACAACAAAACACAATCACTTAATTAAACTAATTGTACTTCAATTTACTCTACAAAATTAAACTAAATGCAATAATTTAATTAACTCTAAAAAATAATAATCATTTAACGATAAGAAAATTATTTAAATATAGAATATTAAACTTCTTTAGCTCTACGAATTACATCTAAACACAATAAACTAATTAGCGCTACAACAAAACACAATCGCTTAATTAAACTAATTGTGCTTCAATTGACTCTACAAAATTAAACTAAATGCAATAATTTAATTAACTCTAAAAAATAATAATAATTTGACAAAAAGAAAATTATTTGAATATAAATTATTAACCTTCTTTAGCTCTACGAATTAAATCTAAACACAATAAACTAATTAGCGCTACAACAAAACACAATCGCTTAATTAAACTAATTGTGCTTCAATTGACTCTACAAAATTAAACTAAATGCAATAATTTAATTAACTCTGAAAAATAATGATAATTTGATGGTAAGAAACTAATTAGCGCTACAACAAAATACAATCGCTTAATTCCAGCTACATACGAATTTAACTATGTAAAATCAAAATAAAAGCAATAAATTAAATATAAATTATTAGCTCTAGAATTAATAATATGTGTCAAATAAATAAATAAATAACACTGGCGGCTATCGCTGTCCGCTCGCCGACGAGCAGACGGGCAAAACAATTACAGGACAGGAGGTCAGTCACGGTGGCCGTGAATCTGGCTATGGTGTTTGTGGGGGGTTGGTGGTCGGGTGGTGTGTATGTTGTTTAAAAAACTATTTCAGCGAATAGAATATAAAGAAAAATTTGAAGGGCAAAATTGTCTTTTTAGTGTTTTTTTACGGGCGGCAAATAGTAATTACCCGGGCGGCAAATAATAACCCTCCTTGATTGAAATGATAAGCAAGGGCCGAGGAAAATACATTTTTCTCATGGTAAGGAGGTGATCAAGACTGGAAGCGAGGGATATCAATATAGTCCCATATAATGAGTCATTAGGTTTCGCTTAACTCAGAATGTGATGCCGCACAAGGACTACAACTTACCAACTTAAGTCACATAGGGTGACGTAGAGTTTTACAAAATGGAGTTCAAGAGGGGTACGTGCAAGTACATAGTTGAATGAAAGAGAGAATGGAGCCTCATAGTGAAGTTTTATACCACGAGCCGACAAGAGAAGTCATGATAATAAGGCTAGGAGAGTACTGGAGCAAGTGGGACGTTGATAGAACCTGGTTTTAGGATTCTATCGATCGAATGGTGGAATTGGGATTTAGGAATTTAAGAACAGAATTAGGGATTGAGATTAAGATGAGGAGAGGAAGAACATAATAAGAATCGGCCGAAATCTTGGACTTGGGACGAAGAGAAATTAGGAGATAGGGAGAGTTTAGGGACTAGAAAAACCTAATAGACTATCCTAATATGACTCAACCCTAATAATAATTATCCTAGCATAATTAATAATAGAAAACCCTGACAACCATGTTTCTATCATTCCATCCCCCTTGAAACCAACCTCCACATCTCTTACGCCATATGCGCCTTGAATTCTCCGTTTCTGGCGCTTCCTTTTCTTCCAATTGTGCTCCACTACTTGAACGAATCCCACACCCGCAACTTCGACACTCATTGCTTCTTTCATACCCATGTGGCTCATGCCACACCCATGTCCAAATGATTTTTCATCCTCTTTTTCAAACTCCACAAAGTAAGAACCAGAAAGTGGTTCCTCATTAAGCCCACCATATAAACCCACGTTTTTTTCTTTAAAGTCCACACCATAAAGAAATCCAACCAGAGGACTCATTTGTGGCCCAAGCCCTTTATGATGATGCAACCCATCATATCCTTGAGTTATATTGAGCCTTCCCAAACTTGACCCGCATCTCAGCCATTGTTAGGCCCATACACGTCCAAGTTTTGGCCCAACAACCAGCACCTCACTTGCCAACTTGTGGCCCGAACCGCAACAGCTTACCTTCACAAATGGGCCAAACGACTAGAGCCCAATTTTGACGGTTCTACCTTCATTCTCCAACAAACCAGTCACTCCCTTTGGCCCAAGTAAGACATAGGTTGCAGGAGAAAGGGCAGGCCCATTCGCTTGGCCCAACTGCTCCTGTTGTGCTCCTTGGCCCAAATCAAGCGAGCTAGGGTATGCGAGAAGAGAGCCCCAGCCGCCACCAACCTCTTCCTTCTTTTTCATCTTACTCGAGACGCCGCCCGCCATCGCCGTCTCTTTCTCCGCCGACCAGCAATCCGTCTGGCGCCTCTCCCCCTCGTCCCGCCGTGAAGGTCGTCGCTCCTCCACCTGCGAAGGCCTCACACCGCCGCGCCCCTGCCGCATCCGGCCGGTCCAGCGCCTCGGCCCGCCGCGCCTTGCCATGCGCTGCCGCCGCAGCCACGACCCCGGCGCCCTTCACCGCCGCGCTCGGCGATTCGCGCCGCCGATCCCCCGCAACGACCTGCGGCGCCTCCTCCTGTCGCGTCGCGACCCCGCGGTCGCCCGTCGGCGTCGATAGCCGCGACTCGCCACCAGTCACCCAGGGCTCGGCCGCCTCCTCCAGCCACTTCGCTTCGCCCGCCGCGACGCCAAGGTCGGCTGTCGGCGTGGACCGCCGCTGCTGAGCGGCCGCCGCCACCTGCAACGCCGCGCGCCACTCCATCGTCTCGGCTGTCACCAGGTCGCGGCCCTGTTCACCCGCTGTCTGAGCTTGGGCAGCCTGGATGGCGTCAATCCATTGTTGCACACAGGTCCAGTCCAAATCAGGGAGTCGTATCGAGCTCATTGTAGGCTCTGATACCAAATGATAGAACCTGGTTTTAGGATTCTATCGATCGAATGGTGGAATTGGGATTTAGGGATTTAAGAACAGAATTAGGGATTGAGATTGAGATTAGGAGAGGAAGAACAGAATAAGAATCGGCCGAAACCTTGGACTTGGGACGAAGAGAAATTAGGAGATAGGGAGAGCTTAGGGTTTAGAAGAATAATTCTTTTACTGATTTCTGCTTAATCCCACAAAAGACACAGAGTACATATTTATAGCTAAGGACTAGAAAAACCTTATAGACTATCCTAATATGACTCAACCCTAATAATAATTATTCTACCATAATTAATAATAGAAAACCCTAACAACCATGTTTCTATCAGACGTGCCGACGTGGACCCGAGGAGTGGCTTGGATCGGTAATCCATTGTAAAGTCACGTAGTCATAAATCATCAAGAAGATAGGTACCGTTGTAATAGAGAACCAGATTTATTCAAGAATTTTGACAATGATGGGTCCAGTGCAGCCACCTTAATTAGGGATAAGAACATATTGGATGCACTGAAGTGGAATCATATTCATCTTAAATGGTGAGAGGGTAATCGAATTTCCGAGTGGGCAGATGGTGACTGGAGGTCGATATCATGGATTTTTTTTTTTTCTTTTCTTCTTCAAGTCTTATTAGACCGACTAAGATAGCATGGCAAATAGCGGGGGTCAGCTTGGAAGAACAAGTGCAACTAATTTCAATCAAGGTCAAAGAATGATATAGTATGAGGACTCCCAAGGAAAGCGACGATAGGAGAGTATTAAGTAAGACGCCCAGTAGTAAACAAGTAAGCTAAAAGGGGGTGCCATGATTCACGAGAGAATCAGAAATTTGATCGCGAGTTAAGCGAATGTGCAACGGATGTTGCTAATGCTCATAGAGAGTAAGAGCAATGGTATGGGGATTTCAGCGATACACAGTAAGTAAAAAGGAGATGATCATGCAGAAGATGATTAAAGGCTAAGACGGAGTATAGAACGAAAGTAAGAGATACATAGTAAGTAGGTACAACGACCTAAGGGATTTACGTGTCAATCACAAATAAAGAGTTACGAAAAATGAGTGAGTTATCAGTCGGTCAAGAATCACATGAATTGGAGGGAAGGATTCATAGCTCAAGGTCGCACAAAGTAAAGGAATTATAAATACCTGTAGTAGAAGGATTGTCCCAAGTGAGATTATGGGTTATCACGAGTGAACAAATTTTTGAGGCCGACATTTTTCTTGGGGAGGAAATGTGACATCCCTGTCGAGATAATCCGGAGACTGAGGTTACAGTTCCAATTTTGGGGACGAAATTATTTTAAGGGGGAGGAAATAGAATAGAAAAGGTTGCGACCATAGATTAGAAATAATAATAACAATAATAACTGTTATTATTATTGTTATCACAATCATCATCTACACGTTTACTCCCTCCCATCAGCAACAAAAGAAAAAAAATTAAATACATAAAAACCCAAACCCACGTCCCAATTAAGGGCTCAAGATAGGGTGAGTAACCTTAGAGTGAGTAACAATGAGTAATCAAGTATGGACCCTTCTTTTAAGTGGCTGCAGATCTAAGGGTGAAGAATTAAAAAAATTTATTTTCCCTAATTTTCTTAATTGGATCATATCTTCTTCATTCTAACTCGGATTTCATTTTTTTTTTCACAAATGGAACGAGTTCGTTGTGCTCTACAAAATGATATCAATTTTCAATATTTTTTGAGAAAATTTTTTTGCATCCCTCTCATTACCAACTCCATACCATATGGTATCTCCTTCGTTGTTTAGTCATTTTTGGAAATTTTTGCACAAAAGGAACGATTTAATCATAATCTATTGGATTTCAAAATTTTATTGGGGAAAAAATTTCATACCTCTCGTTACCAACTCCATACCATACTATACCACCCTGGTATGAGGTGGTATTTTTCATACCATATGGTATGCTGTTATTTAATACCAGTCAATACCATATGGTATTGACTGGTAATAACTGACAATTTTTTTTGTTCCAAAAAATATCAAAGTGGATATCATTTTGAATCGTTACCAACTCCATACCATACTATACCACCCTGGTATGAGGTGGTATTTTTCATACCAAATGATATGCTGTTATTTAATACCAGTCAATACCATATAGTATTGACTGGTATTAACTGACAAATTTTTTTTGTTCCAAAAAATATCAAAGTGGATATCATTTTGAAGAGCACAATTAATCTGATCTAACTGTGCAAAAAAATTAAATTCCGAGTTAAAACGATTGAGAAATCGTCCGTTAAAGATTAAGGAAAAGAAAATTAATGATTTTTTCAGGAGAGAGAAGGAGACGCTGATGTGGCAGATTATTATTGGGTTATGCATGGAGTTACTCACCACAAGGTTACTCACCCGATCTGCTCCCCCAGTTAAACCCCTCCCACTCCCTCCCACTTACGTTACACAATTAAGAGTTTTTCCCCCACCCTGTGAATCGACCGTCAGAAGAAGAACGGGAGATAGAAACCTCACTCGATGTCGATCACCTCCACCAGTGTGACCCAATTTTTCCGCCCATCGTCCCCCCCCCCCCACACACACACACAGAGCACGGACGCCAAGCAATCCGCCAACGCGAACCTCGCTCGACCTTGGATACTCTAGAGCGAATCGAGGCCTCATCGGAATGACAGAGTCCAAATCCTTATTGTAGAAGGATTGAAGAAGAAGAGGTTCGAGGAAGAACAAGCAGGTCGAAACGTACGAAAGAAAGAAACGTTTCATTAAGCTGCTGAAGTATTTTAATTGAACTGTGTCGTTTTACTACATGTAGCAGGATAAAGTAGTTAGTCGTTTAATTACATTTTAGGCTTTAAATGGACGAATGGAAAGCAGCCAAGTGGCATTGCTCTGTAATCCATTCTCCTTTTCGTTTTCGTTGACTATAAAAGGCATAGGACAATCTCAGAGATAGTTGAAGATTGATCCTTCCACAAAACCCTAGCAAGCTTTTCTCATATGGTATCAGAGTGGCAGATCTGAAGGGACTTCACAATGTCAGGCAGCAACGCGTCGCAGCCTAACACACTGCCAAGTTTAGGTGCGAAGCATGAACCACAGATCCACACAATATGCAGTTTGGAACATTTGGAGCAGAAGGAAATGCAGGTCAATCCTGCAATGCAGAAGTCATTATATTTGGTAACCCTCTCTACCTGAACCCAAATGAGAATCTCAGCTTACCCATTGTTTATGAGTTGATGGATGGGAATAATTATAGTATGTGGAGTAGATCTGTGATGAATGTTCTAAAAACAAAAAGCAAAATGGGTTTTGTGGATGGGTCTCTACCCAGACCAGTAATTGTAGATCCTCAGTTTCATCTATTGGATGGATGTAATACTTTTGTTCAGACATGGATTCTAAACTCACTTAGCAAAGATATCAAACGTTCTGTGATGAGGCATGGTAATTCCAAGGTTCTATGGGATGAGCTCGAAAGGAGATTTGGGCAACTGAATGCCAACAGGCTTACCAATCTGGAAGATGGGATACACAAATGCAAACAAGGGACTCAGAGCATTACTCAGTATTACACACAGATCAAGGGTTTGTGGGATGAACATACGGAGTACAACCCAATTGTGGCATGTAATTGTCTCCCAGGAAACACCAACCCATGTACAACAGTGGAGGCTTTTGAAAGAAAACAAGAAACAGACTATCCGATTCGTTTTCTCAGAGGCTTGAATCCTGATTTTAAATCATCAAGAAGCAGTTACAGATGTTGAAGCCTCTACCAACAGTTACTATAGTTGTTGATGATCTGTTACAGTATGAACAAGATCTAAAGGCTCATGGCAGTGCAAAGAAAGGGCAATCAATTGCCTTAGCAGTTGGAGGAGAAGGAACCCGTGACCATGACATGGGAGACTAGGGACAAGGGAAAAAATTCTGAAGGTTATGTAAGCGTACAAACCATTTTATTGAAGAGTGTTGGAGGCTGGAAAAAAGAAGGAAGCAACTAAGAAAAAAGGGAAAGTGCAACCTGGAAACCAAAAGTTTGCTAGGTCAGTGTCTCAGTGAAGTTCAAGTGGTAGTGAGAGTCAAACTGAGGCAAACTGTATGAGTGAAGCAAGCACTATAAGTCGATCTACTCTTGGCTTTACACATGAGGAAATGACTAGGCTGAGATATATGTTGCAGGCTGGTACTAGTTTTTCTCAATCAACTACCTCTTCCGAGTTTCGACCAACGAATCCCCCATTTTCTGCTCCAATCTTCCAGTCTTCACAACACAGGCGACCTCTTCCGGCTCCCCACATGCCATGTTTTGAAATTTGTAACTCAAGCCCAAACTGCAATATTGTCCGCCGACAAGGAGACATCCCAAAGTTCAAATCATCCCAATTAACAGATTCTCGTTCTAATGTTGAGCCTTAGGCATCTTTTCAGCTTCCTCCATCAAATAGCCAGTAATTTCTTCTCCTTTATCAAATCAATGGTCACCACCATCCACACTTTCTCTTCTCCTCTATTTTCTGTGAAACAAGTTCATTAACTTTCTGAAAAAATTCGCGCTCCATATGGTTAAAATTCGCGAATTTTGTAAGAATTCCTTGAAATTCATGTTTCACCGCTCTAAAGTGGGAGCACCGACCCCTCCTCGGCGAATTGTGTGACCTAAGGCCAGACAAATAAAATATAATTTTTCTTTTCATTTTCTATTTTTATTGTTAATTGACTATTTTGTCCTTAATAAAAAAGGATGCCACTAACTCACTATAACAACATCTGGTGTTGTTACTTTGATAATTACGAGCGTCAGTTCCATGTTCGTATCAAGTGGTATCAGAGATCTGGTTCAACACTGATTCGGGCGTAAATGTAAACTTTTTATCCCCTTTCCTCTTTGACGTTTGTGGCATTTGAACTCCAAAAAGGGTGGCTTTACGCTAGGTTTCATATGTTTCAATGTGTTTTAGAGTCTAGCAGGTGAAACCAACCCTAGAGTCGAAAGTTGGTAGAAAAGGAGCGAAGACCGGACAAAGAGGAGGATTCAACCATAGTTCACTGTCAGACATTGGAGTTCACGGTTGCCAGGACTGTGAACTAGAACCGCGAAGCGTCTAGAGAGGTTTCAGAGGTTAATGACACCAAGGCAGTTCACGGTCGCTAAGACCCTAAACTAGAGCCATTGACCGTGAACCCCATAAGTGTCAGGTGAAGTTACGCATTTTTATCAGAGTTCACGGTTCGGGCCTGATGTTCACGACCGTGAACTGGGACCATGAACTGGGCTCGATATGTCTATAAATTGAGAGCTGAAAGGAAGAAAAGGAGAGATCCCAAAGGGAGAGAAACCTTATTCTTCTTGAAACCCTAGAGAGAGAAAGTCATGAACCAAGAGGGAGAAAAGGATAGGGTTTGCTCCAAGTGAAGATTTTGGAAGTTCCTCTCCCAAGGAGGATCTCTACAAGCACAAGGAGGTTTGGAGGCATCAGAATGATGGTTTCTTTCTTCTTCCTTTGTGTTCTTCCTTTGTCTAGCGAGGAGTAGTTTTCCTTTTTACTTGTGTGTTGTATAACCCTAACTTCTATCATGTAATTGATTGTGTGGATTGAATGATTATGTGATGCAGGTGTTTAATTTAAGAATTGTGGTATTTTTCATGGTGATTGTGCTTTGTGTGTGATATTTTGACCTAGCTTAGAGAGAATCCCCCTTATGTTAAGAGGCTTAATTTGAGCTCGGTGTTCTTAGGCATTCCATGTCTCCTAAGCTAGTTTAGAGAGAAGCCCTCTTATCTTAAGAGGCTCAATTTGAGCTGGGTTTTCTAAGATAACACTCTAAATTTGAATTAGACACCTGGGTGGATTGTGATTATGTCGTCCAAACCTTGGTTTGAGGAAGAAGGTAAGTCCACCCTCAATTGTTTGGGCCAAGAGGGCTACAATTGTAGCCGATGCTCTAAAACACAACTCCTAACAAAGGCCAAGTGTAACCAATGAAAGGGACTGCAGTATAGTGGCTCAAGTGATAAATATCGAATCCACGGGTCTCTAGAGTTACTATTACTCAGCTTCAGTTTATTATTTAGCAAATCAGATTAAGATGAAAGAACTAAAACTACTCTAGCAACTACAGTTAAAGTTAATCTAATTACAGGTTGGGAACTCACTTAGGTATGATTCCCCCTAGCCACTAGCCAGACTAACGATTGATGATTTCCAACTTGTTTCACTTTCATTCACAATGCGGAGAATCCTTGAGTAGACCTTGAGTCTCGACTAAAGGAACAAGGCCCTCTTGAGTCAATTGCCTAGAGGGACGTATCCTTCTCTAGAACAACTGATCAAGGCGTTCTGAACTAGACTCCCTCTATCGAAAGAGGTTCTCAATCGATACAAAGCAGTGAATCAACCCTCGACTAAAGCAATCGATCCACTACTATCAATCTATGGTGCTCTATTGACCTAATCAGGTATTCCCTCTCATAGAATCAAAGCAGAATCAATAATCTCGACTAAAGCAGAATTGAATCATGAAAACATGCATAGATTGAATATGAACTCAAGATTATCCAGTCAGAGTACTCATACAATCATCCAATCAAACAAACATAGCTAGGGTTCCTCAAAACCTAAGTGAAGGGAAGTTACTCCATAGAGAAGAGAGAGACTGCAGTAAGAATCTTCAGATGATCAGTCTTCAAGTCCGGGCTTGTTCCTCGAGCTTTCAAGGCGGAGAAATCCTCCAATTCCACTCCAAGAATGCCCTCAAATCGCCCTCTCTCTCTAGGGTTCGTCCCTTGGGTGTTTGGGATCCAAAAACCCAGCTCTCGTCTTCTTTGGTTCGGAATTTGGCTTAAAACCAGGAAATCCCGACTCGCACGGCCAGGGTGCACGGCCGTGCATATCACCATTCTGGCCGTGCAACTCAAAACGCAGCGTGTCATTTAGTCGAACTTCAGCCCTCTCGCACGGCCAGGATGCACGGCCGTGCGAGCTTCAGGGGTTGCCCGTGCGTGTCCTCGGCATAAGGCGCACGGCCATATTGCTCACGTGCACGGCCGTGCGGCCTCCCTAGTCTGCCCGTGCAGCTCCCCAAAAATCTCACCATTCGTCCGTTCTTCGTCCAATCGACCCCAGACTCGCTCCTAAGCCTTCATTCACGTACTAGGACCTGAAACATCACAAACAAGCACAACCTAGCGTGAAATCGGTCTAAACCACGAGAAATCACATCTCAAACGGTGTAAGAACAGGGGTAAAAACATGTGTAATTAACGGTCTATCAAAATCCCCCACACTTAACCGTTTGCTTGTCCCCAAGCAAACCTAACTCAAACCAATGCAACTCTCCAGACCTCTATAGCAACAAACAACCCAGATCGTAGGTAGAGGACTTCCTAGATCATTTAGCAGCTTACGAGGTCAACCGACGCACAAGTCATCTCATAACTTCTTCGGCGAGTCGGCATCATGGCAAATAGTGAACAGAGGACAAATGGATTGTGGATGAAGAGATTCTCAAAAACAAAGGATCATGGACTCACATTTTTCAAGGTGCTCTATTTTCTTCTTGAAGATGGTTGAGACCCCTTTTTTTTCCTGTTTTGCTTGTTTTCTGATATTTTTTCTTTTCTTTTCTTTTTCAAGGGT